TTAGGTTTTTGTGGCTATATACCCGGCTAAGCTCGATATTTTTCTCCATATTATATGAGTTTGCTGCGTACGTAGCATGTAAACAAAGTGCATCACATACGCTACAATGCCGCCCGTCCAAACTGTTCAAAATCGGAAGAAACATGCATTTCTACCCGCCGAAATCGATCCCACATGCCCACAACAACATTCTCTACCCGTGAAAGCCGTACTTCCGACAATATTTTACACTGGACGGGCAAAACTCACCGTTGAAGTTGGAGTATCGCTATCGACTGTGGAAGACTCCATTGTTAGGCCGCCTCAATGGGAAACCTGACCGGGAGTGACCCAACGGCGGTCTCGTTTTCGTGCGAGGTCACGCGCGGTCACGCCAAGGATGCGCTCTCGCGAGAATAGAATCATGTATCTGGAATGAGGTCTATTCTGGAACCCTACCGTTAATTTTGACCTGCCGACCGGAGCACTCCTGACACGGCAGCAGTGTGAACTCCTCCGCCTCCGCCATGTCGTAATCCGTACTGGCCAGCACAATGACGTCACCGGGCTGCCAGGAGCTGACGTCATCCTTCAGATTGATGATGAACTCATGGCCGTTGTTACCGGCAACAGTGAAGGTGCATCGCGGGCTTCCTGGGGGAAACAGACCTTTTCATTAAGCCTCCGTCAGACATAGCCGAAAATGGCCTCCTAAACACTACCGAACTACCCCCCCCCCCCAACCATGGTTAGGAGTTATCGGGAGACAGGTTAGCCAGGTTTGGCATGGCTACCAGCCGAATGTTTCGGACTGTTGGTTCGACCATGGTTGGCTGCGCCATGGCAAATAGTTAGGCGCAATACGCTGCATCTGTTACGGTGTACAGATAAGTGGGCAATTGTAATCTGTCCGAGGAGCTGTTGTATGTTCTTTGATTACATCAAGTACAGATGGGCTACAGATTTCAGTTCACAAGATCTGCCCAATATAGGCCTGAGTGTACGTGTCGGGGGCCAGTACAAAACGAAAGCCCGATAAAGACACCAAAAGTAAGCCGAAGCCCAAACCTCTGCTTGGAGAGTAAGTACACCTCACCTCCCAGCCATTCACTAGTCGCAGTGACCACGTAAAAACCGAAAAACGCCTGAAGAGTGACCGCAGCGGTGGCCGTGCCGGTGGTCTGGTCATCTGGAGGGCATGGCGGGAAATAGGAAATTTTATTGCAAATTCATGTACGAGAGTTAATTGCAAGAACATTTATTTACAATAATAATAATAGTAACTTAAAAATGACGGTAAAATACTATTTTATGGATGACATCCTCCGCAGACTCCAAATCTAATGCGAGCGGGCGAAAAGAAAAGGCGGCCGAAAAAAACAAGATTCCTACATTTTAAAATTTTGATTCAGTCATTGTACAAATGGTTTTGATTCAGTGGGAACATCACATATACACAGCCAACATCACATATCACTGCACCAAAGGAAAAAACAAAACATTAAATCAGAGCCTTTTCTTGTCTCCTCTCTTCATAGTCATCTGCCATCCACCTTCCGGCATGCCAACAGACATCTTTGTCAATTTTCGGCATGGTGACCACTGTCAGAGGGCAACAAAATTTCTTGTTTTGTTTTTTTCCAAAATCAGGCGAAAATTAATGCGCGCCCTGGTGTCATCCATAAAAATTACTTGCTGTGGCCTTATGAGGTGTTCATAGAAATGCATGCAGATTTTTGTTACCTGGAAGGGTGAATAAAGCTAGGAAACATGTTGGTGACTACTAGTATTTCAAGTAACTTGTCTCTTTCAGTGCTGTAATGAGTGCAACAGGCAATAAAAATGTATTTCATCCTCCGCTGTCTTCATTAACAACCACCAAACAATCACTTTTCTGTTACTACCATCGTACCTTTGTGCCAACCCCAATTGTTATGTTTACCAAAGGAAAACATATTGTTTTTGCTCTGTTTCTTCCTCTTCTTCTTCTCCAAACAGTGACCTCTGACCTGACCAATGACATAATTTGTTGACGTCTGTCACCATGGTGACTGGTGTTGGGTTACATAATGTTGCAATTTCACGGTCTGCTCTGCTCCTGTCATCATGTCATCATATTCTATTAGTATATGTATATGTATGTGAATATGTTTGAGCCTTGGTTTGAGTAAGAATTAACAGAGCAGACCATGTCCGAAGGTAAACCGTATGCATTTGCTTTGCAAATGTTACTTCTCTAGTTGCAGTTGTAGTGTATATGGTCAAAAGAGACTAGTACGTACCCACATACGGAAGTTTTTGTTCCACGGCTAGGCTGGGGTCACCCTTCACACTGACCAGCGCCCATGGCTGCCTGTGACGTTCAAATAATGCAACAAGTATATGTATGTGTGTGTTTATAGTTTTTGTCCAGCACAAAAAAACCTAGAGCTTTCGACCAGTCACTCGTCACTCTCAATGAAGGGTTATTGAACAGCGACGGGGGCCGACATTAGCCTGGGTACCATCCCCAGTAGTATATTCGCAAACTCTATAACCAGTTAAGCGACGGTCACAACTCGCCGTACGTGCTTCTGCGTGCTGTCTACGTGCAAAAACGTGGGCAAACGTACGGCATCCGTGCGTGGTGAGTACCGCCATCGTACGGAATCCTACGGATTTGGGAGCACGCAGACACGCCGTAGAACCTTAAGTGCATGTAATACTTTTTCTACGTGCGGTCTGCGGATTTACCACTCGTGCGTGCGAGTACGTGCGACGCGCGTGCCCCGTACAGCCTATGAGCGTGCAACGTACGGACTCCGTGAGTCTAACTTCACTATTCTCACGTGCAATTGCTGTACGGACAGCGCACGAAGCACGTGAGTGCCACGCACGGTGCTTGCGTCATCCGTGCTTACTCCTCACTTCCCAGTTGACCTGCTCAATGACCACGCAGAACACACGTGCACCATACTAGGTGCTCCGCACGTGCAACGCACGTGCAACGCACCTGATTTCTACAGTATATAAAGACGACTTGACGGGCGACTGCCAACTCGTCTCCAAGATGCCCAGGAAGGCTCAAA